TTCTCTGGAATGCCTAATTTATTTTGGACATTTTTTTTTCCTTAAAAAACCTCCCTTGGAGTTAAAAAGAAATTGGTGTTTTTTGCCTTCTCCTTTTTTTTACCTGGCCCTGTGAGCCAGAACAATACTAAAACTCCTTATCACTGTTGCAGTTGCTTTCAAAACTGGTTTTAGTGTGGTAGCTTGTTCCCTGCAGCCCCCTCACCCAGGTCCAGAAAGGCATTGACTAATCCAAGACAGTATCCTCAGAGACTTTTACTAGACTGTCTCTGGTCGACAAGAACGTGTACTACCATCATACTATATTGTTCTTAGCGCAGCATCTCAAGTTTTGATGGCTTTTTCTTTTTGACAGCGATGGGTATAAACTTAGTGCCTGTTCTGTGATCTCTTAAGTAAGCCTATGTAGTCATAAACATTTAATGCATGCATTACATAACTTTAACACTCTTGTTCTGTGATAAACTTTAGATGACATTTATTTAAAAAGGTGGTTTTTGCTTGTTCAAAAGAATAGTGACTAGCTCTGTGCCCAAAAATCAGAATACTTCTCTGTGATTAGTACACTGACAGAGTTTCTTAGGGGTGTGCAATTAGCATATGGTTACTCTCTGGCTAGCAAAGGAAAAGTGATCCTTTCCAAACTATACTTACCTTCTAAGGAAGTATTATGGTAGTATAGGTAGTTTTGGATTGGTTTGTGGAAGATGAGGTTTTTTTTTTTTTCTCTAAGAAAGACTGAATCAACCCAAATAAGAGTAATTATTCAATGAATTAATGAACAGGTGGGGGGGGGTGTGTGAAGGGGTAGAACCCCAGTAGCAGCACATCATGAAAATAAGGTGATGAATCACCAAATAAGGACTACATGGCTCATTAGCTAGGTAATGGTTTACAATTGCTTTATTTATTTTTTTTTAATAAAGCTGCTTTAGTTCAAATATATTGAAAAGTATCATGTATACATTTTACCTATATTTTATGTAAAATAGTTCTGAACTCATGCATCCTTTTTAAAATCATTAAAAACTATAGAGTAAAAGACTTCCTGAAGGTGAAAGGCAACTTCAGGTCCCATTGCTTTTGTTCTAATCCATTTTAAGGTGGTTACTGATGTTTCTATGGAGTATCGGTGTGATGGTTCTTACCCTACATTATCTTGAGAATAGGCATAAAACAGAAAAGGAATTAGTATTTTTTTCATCCACAAGTAGGAATAGTGGCCCACAATACTAGTATTGCTCAGAAAAAAAAAAATCCAATAATTTGTTTACATTACAAAACTCAATTAAAACCAACAGAAACTGAAAGGGTTTTCTTCTTTTAAAAATGAAAGCATACTTAAATAGCTCAAGGCTATAATTTTCTATTTACACTTGATCAAGTGTTTTTACAGAATATTTATTGTTATATATATTTTGGCTATGATTCCTAGGAGAAACCACCGTTCTTCTGGAGTCAGACTAAGTCCAGATTTCATTCTTACTCCTTTTTCTGAGAGAGATGATTAGAAACATAGTCCATAGTTGGACTTTTTGTTGATCATTAATAATAGTATTTTACTTTTGAATTAGTAAGCACAGACAAACGAGCACAGTTTTCCTTTTTTTTATTGAGACACTTAGCAAAAATGCTGAAATATCAAACATTTCCTCAGTAGCTACAATATTGCCACTATGTACAAAATATTTGATAAATGTACTACACATATAAAAATACAGTATGCATTACATATATACAGTACAATGTGCAAAACATATGGCATTCAAACATATGGAATTGATTTTAGGGGTGCAAACAGCAAATACAAAGGCATCATGGTTTCTTATAGAAAGGCAATACATAACGCCCTGATTGCCAGAATTTGTATTTAGTAAAGTAGTGCTTAAATGAAGAGGGCCCTAGAGAGAGGTAACTATCATCTTCTTCTTTTCACAAAATGAGATGCTAAGACATAATTATGACTATGAAAATAAGAAGAGAAACACCTACTAGGGTTAGCGTTATTTTTACTGCAAGCAGTACAGTGAAGAAAACTCCTACCTGGAAAAAAGCCTGTGCTATTACTTAATACAAATTTCTCAAACAACAAAAACAAATCTGTACTGTTAAACATCAAAAATATTTACATCCTTTAAATTTTAAAAAATTATGGATAATATTTGTGGGGATTCACTTTCCTATGCTTCAAAATACAAAGTGCCTCCTTTGGCAATATAAATGGCAATGCTTTGGTTCCTCTTTAAATTTTTGTATTACTATAATTTATTTTAGGCTATCTTTTTGAATATATGAGGTGTATTCTTTATAAAAATAGTGTCATGATATAGTAGGTAACCATTCCCTGCTTTTTAGTGAAACTTTGCTCTCATAGCTATAATGACTTTTTTGGCTAGATTTCTACAAATGCATTTATGTGCTTTTAAAAACAAATGTTTATGTTCAGTACTAGACACTACAGAAGGATGTAGGTGTCCCTTTTTTGCACTTTATTCCTAGTAAACTGCTATAAAAAGAATATTTGAGATTACTTCAGGTTCAGGTTTTAATGGATGTTCTTTATTGGCCGGGTATATACTATACGCAACTCCATTCCACATATCTCATATTAAAATATTCTGTAGTATGGTCTAAAAGTCATCTAAAGGCAATTTAATAGACCACAATGTAAAATGTTTCAACATGAGGTTTATTAGCGACAGGCAGAAGAATTTTTTCCAGTTTTAAAAGAATTTGCTTAAATTTAAAATACACTGAATATGCCATTCTAATAATTGTATACATCAATGAGCTTTATTGTGTTTTGATTACATAATGCCCTTCCAGTTAAATGTTATTTTGTGATTGCATTTGCTCTGCCTTGAAAGCAGTTCAACAGCTTGTGCTTGGTTTTCAGTTATGGTGCCTACACTTTTCAGGCATCTGAGTGTTGGAGATTATGTAATGTAAGGAAGTTCAATAGCAAAACTTCCATTTTGATAACCTCTTTCTTTGAGGATGACTCCTGCTGGTGAATTTAGAAATACCTTGTAAAAAAAATTTCATTATTAATTAGTGATTATTTCTAAAAGCTGTGGCCTCAGCTTTTTAAAGGCTTGATTCTGCAAGCCCATGTTGTGGATTAGACCTTAAATTTGTGTAGAGAACTGCCATAAATTCGTTTCATTCTCTGAGAAAACAGTTAAATTTATGACAATGGTTTATTAACTATTTGTAATGATGTTAAATAAAAATTTTGCCTGTAAATTTACTTGCCTTAACTAATATTGAATGGCACTGAAAGTGCATAACAAATACCGTTTCTGTATTAAATGCTGGGTGCAACTCTTCTTCATTAACAAACATTAGCCCTGCAAAAGGTATGTCTGAGCTTTCGCCGTTATGTTGAGGTGTAAAACACAAAATTTTATCATTTTTATCAGAACGAGATCCAAAAGTTGAATTATTTTATAAGCATCTACTAACAGCACATTTAACAAGATATGTGTTCTGTTAGCATATTGCAGCCATTATATGGAAATTTTTGTGCCAGTGCATTCCTTTGCAACTGTTCTCTTAATGAGAAAAATTCAGTTCTGCACAGTCACACTGTACAGTCATTATTAAATTTCAAAGATGTGTTGTATTTGTGTTACAAAAATGATCAGGTAAAACATGCACACACAAAAGCAAAACCTATTTCTGCCGTAACAGATATATATATACACATATATATATATATAAAACTATGGCAAATATATCACATTTCAGAACAAAGTCTAAAGCAAACCATTATATAGAAGGTTTTCATACACATAATTCTGAAATGTACAAAAAAAAAATCACACACCCCCTACACTAGAATAGTTGTACTTTACTTTAAAAACTAAAATGATCCCTTATTTTTATTTATTTATTTATTTTTTGCAAATAGACTTTTAGGGTAGAAAGCTATACTGTACTGGTAACAACACATCTCAACTGTTTGGATTTATTTCCGCACATAGATTCCTATGGATTAGGTAACATTCTACACTGCCAATGAGGACAGTTTTGTAGCAAGATGACTTTGCCAGTTTTAAGCTATATTTACATGCACATCAAATATGACAGTACAGTTGTTCTAGGTTAATTTGTCCTCAAACAATTCATTTATTTGCCTCTTATTTAATCAGAAGGCAGGGTCAAATAGGGGTAATTATGTTATTATTTTCTTCAGTCTGATAACACATTGTATGCTACACATCACACCCAGGTGTGTCTGGTTATCACATGCAATAAATTAACAGTACTGTCGAATACTATAAATTTCATCCAGAGTGCTCCCTATCAAACCAAGAAATTTGTCTTTGAAAGAGTCCTTAATTCTAATAACACCGGAGAGCACTCAGTATCTCAGAGTACTAGTACCCAAGAAAATATGTTCAAAAGGAATGCTAAGTTGAATGTATTTGTTCAGTATTATTGAACAATCCTGTACCATCATAATTAAAGGCAGACAGTCCATATATAATATCGTACTAAAGTACTGCAGGCACACCAAGAAGGGATTAGGAAGCATATCTTTCAACTTCATCTGTAGTTGTGATACCCCCTGATAGATTGCTTCTTGTGTTTACTTTTAGATTAAAGTAAATCCTGGCCTATCAATCTATTGGAGGTATATAATGATTTAGAATGCTAGTAACTGGTGTGATGCAAACATATAATGCCAATTTAAGCCTTGAATCAATGATATAACCCACTAATTTACCTGAAGTCAATGGAATTCTGTAATATTACTAAAACAGACTGTACTGGTGAACTGGAGACACTACATATGCAGATAATTCCACAACTTTTTCTTGCAAAAGTATCTAAAATATAGTCTGACAGCCACATTTTTTTTTTTTTAATGTGAAACTGGTTGCTAACAGCTACTTTTTGTTTTCATTATATCTTTGATGCAGATTGTTGCTCCAAGAAGTAGGCAAAAACTTCATACCACTTTTTTCATTAGTTCCAAATGAGATCAGCTCTCAGACTAGAAAACACATCATATTTCCATTATGAAGGAAAAAGGAAACCTAAATTTCCTTTTATCTTAATTTAGAAATTCCCTAATGGGAAGTAATTCCTATTTTATGTTTGATTATCAGCATACGTTTTTCTCTAGCAATATTTAACCACTATCACAGCTACACAGCTGCGACACAGTTACAGAATTTCAAGGTATTTTACTCCTATTTGCATTTTTGTTTGTTTTTTCTGACTACCTTCATAATAGCCACTGAAAAAGATATTATATATTATTTTCACATGCTGTGCTGTAAGAACTTAATTTTTGCTATTATCTGTTCCAAATGTGAAATAGGCCTGAACAGCGTATGTTGATACTCCTTATTTACCTTTTATAGTTTTTCAGTAAGGGCTGTTTAGGGTTCTTATTGAGCAGCTTCCGTTGTGTTAAGTAGTGGTAGACAAAGTTGTTGAGTAGATAGATAGAGTATTCATTAAGAAATGATGGTTGTTCTGTCAGTACTGTCGCCTGCAACTCTGGGCCTGATCCTACAAAGATCTTTTACTGAGGTCATTGGGACTATTCTTACACAGATGTTTGCAAGATCAGAATGCGCACCAGGATTATTACATTTTTCTGCTTCCTCAAAATGTTTTAATATGCTGAGATACTAGATTCAATAATCTAATAATATCCTCAAGCACAAATTAAAATAGGCTCTTTATTATTTCCAAATCTCTTAATTTTTTTGAAGACCACTGTTCCCCTCTGTTCACAAAAAAATAAGCTATACAAAGTTGAAAGAGTATACAAATAACTGTCTGATATACACATTAAAACCTAGCTATTAAGTCCAGAGCATTGATATAGGAAAAATTCAGTGTTCTCAATGTTACCTGGCCTAGCTACAGTGGATTTCTTGCAGTTACAGTTAATATCCCTTCGGATGCAGTTAAATTCTTCCCTCAGCATTAAAGAATGGGGGAAGAGTTTTAAAAACCACAAAACCAAAATATAAAAACAACTTGAACAAATTAAGAGACTAGATACATGAAATTTCACTGAACCAGCCAGTGCTTCTACTTGCCTTTGCCCTCGCAATTTATTTTGAACCTGGCTCAGGCTATCCACAGGAACAATGAAGTGCAGTGATATCTCACCTTCCCCCAAATAACATCTGCTCACTGTGTCAATACCGAGTGTTGAAATCTCCGTTATTTTTCTTACCTTATCATAGATTAGCTATGTTGTGTCATTTGTTTAAGCATTACAAAGTCAGTAATACTATTTCTTTCTTATACATTCGTGATGCATTTTCCTTGGGGTACTTTTAATCCGTAAGTACAATCATCCTTTGACTTGCGAAATACAGCTTTCAGAGGGCCCTGATCTGCATTAATGATAGGCGCATAGAGAGCATAAAGTAATTCACTGTTGTAAACTTGAATATCAGTAAGGAATTAGCTTCAAGCATTTGTTCTTCCAAACATTTCTGTTAATTTTTATCAACTGCAACCAGAATCGTGTTAAGAACGGACCTATGCTGTAAACAGATTTGCAGGTTGTGTTCTCATTGGCTATAGCTTAATCCCAGTGCAACTGCAGGTCTTGTGGATCTAGAAAGTCAGTGGAAAACACGCTGGGGGCAGTAGAACTGAGAGGAGTGAGTCCAGATGAGGAGCTGGGCATTGTAATGTCTAACCATTCCATATTGTCTAAATTTGTGTCAGGAAGATCAAGAGATAGGCAAGAATTATTAGTGGTAAACTGTGGGTCAGAGGTTTCCATGGGTGAATGAGAGTGATCTAAAATGCCGGAGTGATTAAGCAGATCATTCTGAAGGTCCTCAATTAAAGAAAATGACTCTCTGTCCTCATTATTGCTTGTCAGTTGAGGGATTTCATTACCTGAAGGTAAAGTTCCATCCAAGAGAGCTTCAAGTTGGTTTTCCAAACTTGTTAACAAGCTGGTTGTTGGTTCTAAGGACACAGGAGGTGCCATTTGGATTTGTGGTGGTGGGCGGGATATCACTGTATTCACTGGCATTGTAGTGATGTTGGCTGTAACTGGTCTCATTTTAGCAATGGGAGATGGTTCCTCCTTTATTGGAAGGGAAATCTCTGTATAAAAAAAATACTTATTGAATTAATAAAAGATAATGACATATACCCTCAGGTGTAAGACCCCTAACCTTTTCCCACGTGCTGTAAGATGCATCCACAGTAAACTCAATTGAGTAAGGACCATTTTGCTGATCTATCTGATAGTACAAACAGTACATACTTCAGACTAAGTATGTCAGGTAGTCTATCAACAACAGTGTCTTCTAAGTTCCACAGTTTTGTTTTCAGTAACTCTAGCCAACTGAAGTATTTCTATCAATGAACAAAAGGAACCGTTTTCTACATGTTAGCCCTACCTCCTTTGTGTTTATAGTTTTCTGAATTACTTCAGAACCAACACAGTGCCCCATTTCAGGAAAGAGTACCCGAACCAATTTTCAGTTCCACTCCCTGTTTAGTACTCTGTCCAATTTTGTAAATTAAAGTCTTAAGAAATAGTTAATGCAATTAGCATGCTTTCATTACTGATTCTAGAGTCTGAAACCGTTCTTCAGTCAAGAAGTTCCACATGAGCTAACGGTAGTAAAAGAAAAAGCAAGGTAAGATCCAGTTAATTCTTATATGTAGAGTCGAGTCCAAAAATTAGATTAGGTCTAGAAGATTCTGAGAGGCAAGAAGATGCAAGTAAATCCTCCAGCAGAGATGATGTTTCGGCTGGCAGAAATATGCTTGGCAATATATTTTACACCAGTCTTCCAAGGAAAATAATACATTAAAAAAAAAATCTCTATAACAGCATCTATTAAAATTGCTGCCTAATAAAAACAAAGCATTAGGACAAGAAACCACTCACTTTCCTAATGTACATTAATAGTCTAAAAATTTTTTAGTGTAGAACTTGCTTAGGTAAGTGCAAGACCTCTGAGTACTTTATTTCCTTTTCAATAAAGATGATGGAAAAAGGTTTTTGCCTTTTTGTGGCAACTTGGCAAATATGGAACTGCTGTTATTTTTAAGATCAAATAGGTTTAATAATGTAACATTTGAGGCACATTTTTAAAATAAGCACACTAATGTTTTGTACATCCTCTGTTTCACCGGTAGTACTTCAATCTACCTATGCAGTGTTTTAGTAAGAACGCTAAAAAAGTTTGTTAATTGAGTTGTTCGCTGCACCTGTCACTTGTCTAGGTCAGTCTGTCACTGTCTGTGCCATTTTCTTTGGTTAACTTGGCAATTTGCTTTAAAAAGAGGATACTCTGATATTTAGGATATGGCTGAAATCTTCTAATAGCCTACAATCAGTCACTTATGACTTGGCATTCCTTGCTGTCAAGGTCTTCATGTGACAGCAGTTCCAAACATTTTGTTAATTGTATTGTTTGGCATTAGAACTTCTCCCAGTATTTTAATGGCTTCTACAAAGCCTTTAATTAGGCCTGAAAGCCGCCTACTTCTATTGCAAAGCTACTTTTACAATTGCTTTAGGTACTTGGTTGGGTTCCTTTCTGATAGCTCCCTTATTTTAACCGACATAGAAATTTGTAATTCATGAGTTCAGACAAATTTTTCCCATGTAATTTATCTTTGATATTTACAGCTGATAATACCTTGTTATATTTGTATGTTGAACAAATATGCCTGTGCTAAGCTAACATGCTATTTTAATCATTTGCTGTGTGAATTACTGCGAAAGTCTGCCCAGGCTAGTTTAGAAGCAGAGAAGTTCCAAAGTAGGGTGACTGTATTTCTTTTGGTATATGTGCTGGCATATGGTTTTTTCAATACCTAATTAACAAGCATTCAGAAATACTACTGTCATCCAAACTGGATAGCTTCTACATCATCTCCCTGAAAGAATTCTTTCCCTCATTCTTTGGATTACTGTATGAAGTTTTTATTACCAAGTTTTAGCTCTCTGCATCACATAGACTTCAACTGGCTTACCTCCACTCTTGATGAGAATATCAAAAAGATCATCCATTTGCTGACTGTGCGCACTGGAAATCTGTAGCATATGAGAAAAGGAGGGGAGAGCTGGTTATTCTTTTTCATGTAATATTTTTTCCTAAGCTGATTAATCCTAACTTCTTGCAATAGTATATAAATACTAACTTATAATCACAACTAAAGTTTTTTTTTCATATGAAATTGTCGATCTAGAAAATAGAGGAAGAGTTTGGCAAGGCACTTGTAATCCTTATGGTTGGTTTCAGTTACAAAGGAATAGGAAGAAGTACCAAAAGCAAGACAAAGATTTCATGAAGGAAACTTGGGAGAGATGCAGAAAACTAGGGCTAAGAAGGAAAACTGCTAATCCTGTTTTGTAGCAGGCAAATATGGGGAGTAACAGCAGGACTATGGTGGTTAACCTTGAACTGTAATGTAAGATGCATTTTGTAAGTTGTTTCTTTACAATTTGTAGATTCATGTTTTTCTTCTTTAAGGGGTAAAAAAAGAAAAGTGTTCATTAACTCTTTGTTTATCTGCATGTTTTAGACATTCATCTCCTGAGTATTTGAACCTTAAGCAAAAGGTAATAAAATCCTCATAAACCCATTCTTTCAAAACCAGTCTAGGAAAGTTATAGAGACTTTTTTGACTGTCTCAAGATTAAAACTGTGTTTTAAAACATTGGTTAGATTGTAGAGACTGAAAGCGATTTGTCATCAGGAGATTAAGCTCCTGGAAGGAGGCCAGCGAGGAGGCGCTTTGCTGGCTGGTAGTGACAGACTCACTTAAGAAGTGCTGTTTGGCCATATTTCAATTATTACATTGACTTTATGGACCTTGAGTAGACCTAAACTAGTCTGAGGTTTGGCTGTAAGGACCACAGAATGAAAAACAAAATCACAACCTAGCGACTCTGTGCTGATATGCTTAGTATCATTTAATTTTTCTTTAGTAATGAGTTGTATGTTTACTTGATATATCTCAACCATTGAGATGAGGTACAAAAGTCAAAATGCCAAGAAGACAGAAGATGACAAGGGGGAATTATTTTAAAATGATATGTTTCTATATTTGTACCATCTATATGGAAAAGCTTTTTAAAGGGGGAGGGTGGGACTCAGCTGCCTGAACACAAGCATCAAGTGCCACTTAAGATTACCACACCTGCTATTCCAAGAGGCATGGGTTTTCTGTGCGTCTTGTGCTTTATGTGCTTCCACTGTGAGGATGTGTCTCATATGCCAAGATATCTGAAATGGCATTAGATACCAATGATTCTGCCTGAGTATCTGCCACCGTAAAAGAGAGTACCCAATACGAAATTGATAGAAGTTTGTTTTGTTCTTTTTTTTTTTTTTTGAGATAGTTCTGAAATGCATGCTGTTGAGGAATACTCATTAGCTTTGTTTGCAACTTTCTTCTCCCTTTCAACATGAATGATGTCATGGTAAACTGACAAAGCAGTCCCTAGTATTATTCATCAAGGTCATAAATATAGACTTTACATTGGTAGAAGTGTGTACAAACACACACACAAATATTTCCCTCAAATTACAGTATGTAGCCTCATGCAAAAATACATAAAATTTGAAAAACTTCAATGTATTTCCCTCTGCGACTGTGAAATTTAAGTATCAGCCTTAAAGATAGTCAGCTGAAGGACAGTTATTGTTAAGTAACAGTATCAGGGTTATGCCAATATATTATATACCGCCAACTGGATAATGTAAGATATATTTCCATGTATTTCAGTATATTTTAAATCAACAGAATCATGAAACAGAAGTCTTGTAGTTAAACGCAGTTATGAAACTATTAACAGAACAAGTTAGAAAACCTTGATGCCAAACAAGAAGCTACGTTAAACAAACAATAACGCTGGTAATTCTGAAGAAAAAAATAAAATTATTCTTAATAGGCTAAACAAGCAAAAGTTAACTACCTCGCGGTGAGGTGTTTGAATATTGCGGGTCTGTTTTATGGCCTCTTCATAACGGGGGGGATCTTTTGTCTTGGAAACTGCGTTGTTGAAGAGAGACTGTGGAACAATGTAAGGCTGGGCTTGAGATGGAGAGCCAGGCTGCATGAAATAACAAAATAATGACCAAACAATACACTGTAGTGAAACTCAGATGTATTCAGTTCTACAGGTTACCCTGCCTTGTCGTACCAATCTACGTATTTACAAAAAACAATAGTATAAATAATTAGAGGGATAAAATAATAGTTTCTTCTGTCTTTCTCACACACGCATACGTACATGCATTATTAAAATCTATAAAACATTCTCCCCCCTTGAGTGAACTGCAGTATGTATACAGTAACACTTATGTAAGAAGACTAATATATATCTGAACTTTATGGAACACTGTTGGGATAATCCTACCTTACTAGGAGTAGCAGGTCCATTCTGCACAGATGGAGCCTGGTTACTACCGGTGTGAATGTTAGAGTTTGATGTTTTATTAATAAAAGATTGTGAAGATATTGTAACTGGTGGAGTCTGATAGGAAAATACTGTGTTTGATGTCGTAGGTGGAAAAACCTGTAAAGGATTAATATTAATATTAGTCTTAATATGTTTATCTAGTCTTAATAACTTTTAATTAATAAATGGGTAAATTACATTAATGAAGTTTAAGACTAATTTTTCTAAAACACAAAACAAAATAAACCACCCTTGTTTGCTTCAGTCCCTTTAGGGAAATGGTATTTGTTCTATTTTTTTCCCTGCAGTAGATTAATTTGAAGTCTAGAACTACCACTTTTTGAAAGAAACTTTGTGCTGTGACATGCTTTCACTCATCAGTGATAAGCTAAAATATTTTCATGCACTTTTTCAGGCCTCATGAGAGAATGTAATACAATTTTTCTGAAGAGCACGTAAAGCTTTAATACAATATGCATAATTTCCCCACCTAGTGGGCAATGAATGAGATGGACTAATTTGTGGCCTGATTAAAAACTAGTGACTGTAATAGACTCTGCACACATAGTCATACTTGTCCTATGTTGTCTAATCCTAATTTCTTTCAACTCTGGAGAGCCATGAGTGCTGAGGGAGAAGCAAAAGCATATACAACAGATGAACTTAGATATCTACTGTACAGTTTGATTACTGGTATATAAGCTTTTTAGTTCTTCAAATGACACACATTTGCATATTGCATATTACATATGATTCCATGCAGAATCCTACTTTTCATATTTCTAAGTTAAAGGGAGAGGAAGAGGGTCTAAGCATGTAACAGGCAATCAGAGAGCATAAGACTGTTCTTCATAAGGCAGTTATCATTCCCAAATACCTTTATGATTGCACAGTTCTTGACAAAGATGGGACAAACGCTACAGCAGGGATGGAGATAAAGCCAGGATAAGCTTTGTGGAGTTCAGGCTGAATACCAAATGACGTCTGCTGTGAGAGGGCTTAATACAGTTTGCTAGCCAACTAGATCATCTGTATGGAAACTGCTGTACTTTGTAGCTCTCAACCACTGAGCTGAATGGCTGTGGAGATGTCTTCTTGTTACTGAATGACTTGAAGAACCAGGCCCACAGGTTCTCTAGGGTCAAGGGCTACAATGGAAACAATGAGCCTGAGACAAGCCCAGACAAAAAAAGATCCAACTGAATAAAAAGGTCAATCTATTTTAACCTCCCCTTGCTATTAATGAGGACATTTCTCACTGCCATTGAACAGGTTTGTTTACGTATCCAGGCTCTCATGTGGGGCAGGGCTTTGGCCTCCTCGCTGCCAAACAAGGAAGTCCCAGTACTAGGACTGCAATCATGGAAAGAAGAAAGCGCTCTCCCTGACAAGGGTTAGGAACATGTTAGGAGAGAGAAACAGCAAGACTCATTCACTTACAGTCTGTTAGCTAGAAATGGCTCGACCTGCCTTCTGAACTATCCAAGGCTCATGGAAACAAAGAGCAGGCAGGTAGAGCTAATGCTGAACGTGTTATGACTGACCGATCTATTGTATTACATCAGTATTTTACATTCTAATGTAAAAGTTGTGCAGTCGCACTGCCTGTTTCATATGTAAAAGATGACACGAGAGTTGTGAGAACAGCAGCCAGATGCAGACTGAAGTCTGCAGGGAACTACACGGCATGGTCTCCGTGACAACTAATCTGAATAAAGAAGGGGAAGACTAGAGAGTACAATCCTTGGTTAACTGCTACAATCATTTCAAAGTAGTTCTTGACAGCAAAGGAAGCAAACTGCAAGTCTCTGTTAGGAGTACATACTCAGGATGACTGGAAGATTTCTAAATGGGACTTGTGGGGTTAACAAGATAAGATTAGCCCTTCATCAAGTCCAAGACGGCCTGGATGAACTCTGTTTTTTTGGATATATGCCAGTTAAACTTTTGCAGGATGACCTAAATACCCAAGAAATTAAACAGAGTGAGGACACTTAGTTGTGTTCCCCTTTATTAGCTATCTAAAGAATGGTGCAGCACACAAATTTTCTCTATCTTAGAAGACCTATGATTACCTGGAACAAGACCCTTGGCAGAAGCAGAACAGAAGACGCTGTGCGGGGTAGAAGCCCTAATTCATATCAAAACATGGGCTTTACGGTACATTTTTGTAAACTGAAACTTTTGAAGGTTGAGCTACTTTGTAGCAGTAACATAACATGTTGTCAAAACTACCCTCTTCATATTGAGATTTCAGTTGTTTCTGAATTACCGTTTCCTCCAGGCTAAAAAAAAAACTTGTTCTCCCAAGTGACAGGAACGCTGGAGTCCATTAGCACTGACAAGGAAGCAATAAGGGTCCTAAGACAATCTCCAAGTTCTTGATAATAGTGGTCAGCCCAGATGAGGCGGCTCAAAGGAGGAGAAAGCCCTTTCCTCTGTGATGGCTGGTGCTTGTGTGTTGATACCAGTCACCATATGAACATGTCTGGGTCAGCACTTCCAGCTGCACATCCAGTGCTGATAATATCTATTTTGGACTAGAAAATTTCAGAGCTGATGGTTTACAGTAAAAAGGAAGAAGATCTAGGTCTGAATCATTCCCTGCACTCCTCAGGAAGAGAAGCATTCTAGGTATGGTGGGCTTTTTGACTCACTGGAACTGCTGTCCTCAATATCCGAGTCCAAGACTGCATGCGTACCTTTCTTCATAAGCAAGGATCAGATCAACAAGGAAAGTAGAAAAACTAAAAGAAACTCTTACAAAAGAAAAGCTAAAAGCCTTCTGTAAGAACTGCTTATAAGGATCTTTCATTTTGAGCTGGGGGCAGATACGAGAAATTGATTGGAATGTCTGGGGTACCACTCAGCCAAGCATAGAGAAGATCTTAATGAGTGTGTACCATTAAGACTGAACAAAAACAAAACTTTAGCCTTGTGTACTTGCAGATGAAAAGGTAAGTGCCTGCATGGACAACAATTCTGAAAAGAGAAGGTGTTACCAGTCCATGTTTATCACACAGAAAAACGTGGTACAGAGAAGCTAAGTGACTTATCATTTGTATATGACACACGACACACAAAAGATTCTAAAAGCACTATCTAGAATTAGACTATAAAGCAGTATTAATCTTATTGTTATTCACAAACCTTTCTGATTGGTTGAGCCTGACCAAGTGCATGCTGCGTGATGGTATTTTGTTTTGATTGTGGAGTATGCATCTGAGGTGCTGTCTGGACCAGGCCAGATGAGGGAATAGGAGCAGGTATTTGTGATGGGGTCTGTATTCCAGCTTGTGATTGAGCCTAAAGGATGAAGATAAAATACTTGCATTATTTGTATCTCTCAGTAAATTAAAATATATAAAAATCTATTGAATAGGTTATGCAGAATAGCAATGGCATGTATTCTGGGAGGTATCAGGATGAACTGTGTACAGGAGACAAGACTATTTCAACTCCATTTGGTACTGGAGAATTCCCAGCTGAAAAGTGGTGTTTATACTGGCAGCAGAGCTTAAGAAACATAAAGACAAACTGGCGAGAGTCCAGTCAAGAACAGTGAAAAGAGTTAAGAGAGAGAGAGAGGGCGTAACCAGTTAAGAAAGGACTGAAAGAATTGGGTTTGATTAACCTGAGAGAGAAAACTGATGATGCAAAATGATATGCTTTCTGGCATGTAAAAAATGTTGTTTTAAGAAGATAATAGTCAGTAGTTTTTAATGGCTGCTGGAAGGAAAGAATTATGTCTAACCTCAGGAAAGATGGTTTGGGTTAGAAGTTAGAAAAACTTTCTGCAACACAGCAAAGTGAAATAACAGAGTAAGTTGCTTCAGGTTGTTACAGAATTGTAGCAGGATTTTAGAACAAGTTGGACAAGCACCTGCCTGGATGGGTAGTTATCAGAGTGGCTCTTAAACTGGGGACTTTACAACCCTCGTAAGTATTATTTCCCACCCAAGCTAACTGTGACAGTGCACATGCTAGCTCCAAGCCCGTACCTACAAGAGCAAGTACCCGCTAAAGCTGAACGTATGCTTTCCCAGCGCAGTAACCACGAGGGTGGCAAGGGCATTTCAAACAGCAGGTAGGCAACAGCACTGCCACGGGGTAGTATAAATCCTACCGTAGATCCAGGGGTTAGACTGTTTCAGCTCTGCAAGATTCCTTTTACAGCTTTACACTTGTAATCTATCCTAGGTTATACTGTATTTATTCACAGTAATAGTACCCTATAATCAGCCTAGAAATAATATTTATTTAACCATAGTTTCTCTTTATAACTCCACTGGAGTTCTGCAACCTAGAATTCACATTTTTGAATGCAGTGAGCCATTACCACACAAGGCAGTTCCAACACACGCTTTGAAAACATGTGCACTTCAAAATAAAGTACAGGGTTTGTAGCTGCCTATTATGATTTGGCATTAACCAAATGGTGGAATGAATCAAAAACAATTGTGTATGGAGGCAGTACACGGTAAGATGACTTCTTTTCAGCAAAGAGTATTTGTGAAGTCATTTGTGAAGTTTCTTTGCAAGACTGCAAAGAAAACAAATAGCAGAAAACGTAATAAAGCAGCTGGCTTTTAAGTATTTCTATACTTTTGCCTAAAGCAGAAACAAGCATGATTTTTAACAGTTAATCTTTTAAGCAGCACATTTATCTATCTATATTCAGTTAAACAAACATTGCCATATAGTTACATGATGAAAAATAAAAGAGCCCCTACCTGCAACTTTATATTTCCAACTGGTAGCTGCACTGAAGTGGTAGAATTCGGTCCCTGGATAGATAGTGGAAGGAGCAGCTGTGCTGCTCCTTGGGTTGTTAGTAAAGCTTGAGGCTGGGCAACAACTGCAGTTTGTGGCTGCCTCTGTGGATTAACATAAAATTGAGAAATGGCATTCTGAGTTTCAGCTTTGGCCACAGGTATCTCCTGCTTGATGATAACTGCCTTTTTGGCAACTGGATTCTGGCCACTAGTATATACTGACTGTCCTAAAGAATGATTAGCCACAGACACAGATTGACTCGTACTAGAGCAGTCGGTAAGAGCTTTTTCATCTTTGATAGCAGCACTGAATTGCTTCTGATCCAAAGCAGCTGAGTTACCAGAAGTCTGAGACTGTTGCTGTTGTCCCCGTTTTTCAACCTCAAGTTGCATTTTCAATACTTCCACAAGTTTTTGCTCTTGTTCCAGTTTTCTTTTGAGCTCTTCAATCTGCTTTTCTTTTTCTTGAAGCTTGCGGTCCTTTTCTGCTACATCAAACTCCATGTTTGAGATACTTCCACTGCTACGATTCTGATTATCATCACTCATATTCACTCTTAGCGGTGAAGTACTTAAAAACTGGGATGGTGACATCATAGTCATCATTTCTGTGAAAGTATCTGCCATGCTAGTGTCATCTGTGCTTAGACTAGATTGTTCTGAGGGAGCAGGGGATATAGGCAAAGGGGAGCTAATGTTTTCAGTATTTATTACTTTGCTGCCAGGTCCAGTAGATGTTTTTTCTGGAGGAAAGCTAGACATAGTATTAACCACTGTTTTATTTAGTGTTGCAACAGGAAATGCCACAGTCACTTCCCCAGTGTTACATGTGGCCCCAGTAGAAGTGGTTACTGTAACAGAGCTACTAGTAGTGACCCCATTGTTATTCAAATCTTGATAGGGTTTCAGTCGCTCAATAAGATCCGTTTTTGTTCCAGACACTGGTAATCCCCTTAATTTCAACTCCATTTTAAGCTCTGCTACCTGAGATAAAATAAAGCATCATAGTAAAAAAAAAAAAAAATTAAAACTTATTTTAACACATTCTACTTTAGGACATTTTAGTAAGAAAAACTATTTTTCAGCATATTCAAACAAATGTGTTCAGTATAAATTAATTCTATGCTTCAAAATATCATTTAAAAAAAGAACAGTCACAATGAACAGCTTCCACTTATGGTATCTGTACACCCCATCTAATTGTAAGGTGTTTAGACCACATTTATGTTAGAACCCACTTCTTTGTCTACGAGAATAAAAGGCAGAGTGACCTTAATACCTTTCCCAATCTAGAATCTTAAAGTATAGACCTTCCTGATTAGGAAATGAGGAAAAGTCATACAAATCCATGTGGGTAACACATTCCTAAGAACCATGGCAATTTTATGTTAAATAGTTGTCTACCTTACAATGATTATCTATAGATTCTACCCACCGTGACGTGCAAGCAATTAACTTCCTGTTTGTTGGGGACGCTGGTAATTTGAGTCCTGTAGGTTAACCAGGATACGCATCTAATTTGGAACAAATTCCCTCGTTCCTCTTGAGGTTTCTGTTGGTCCATTTTTTTCATTTTGCTGAGGTCCCTCTAATTAGCAACCCTGCCATCCGGTATATCAACTGCTCTCTCTGAGCTTGGGGTCCTCTAAAGAACTGCACAAGTGTGCACCTCTCACCTTTTCCATTTTTTAATAATCCATTTCTGAATTCTTAGCAGAACTGATTTAGATGAGTCAGTGTTAAAAAACCACCAGCAGGTCTCCAAGTATTGCTTATGTTACTGTTACCACATTAGCAAGAATACTAGTAAATTCTGCAGAAATGGATAAGCAAAAACTTTGCATCTTTGTAAATCACAAATTCAGATATTTAGCATTTTCAAACACTGAAGTTTGAATTGCATCTTACATACTTGTTCCATATGAAAAGATCAGGGATCGGCTTTAACTGACTGCAGTACATTACTGTCTTGAGAATCTGATCTTCAAAAACCTCTTCTTTTATTCCTTCCACATAAAGGAAGGGAGAAATAAACAAACTGTCCACTAGATGTCTCTACTCCTCCGTTCAAGTTTGGCACATGTCTGTAGATGCCATATAAAATATCTGAATCTAAATCCCATAAGGTGCTTCAGGTTCATTTTCAGTAGGCCCCTGACGGTATTAATTCCTGATAACTTATTTGTGAAGGAAGAAAGGTTCATATGTAACGCTTTCATATTAAAAAGAGTTTACACAGTTATTTATACTTTAAGAAACTTTTATAAAATTCAGTGTTGATTTTCAGATAATGTGTCAAGCTTTGATAAACATGAAGATCTTTATTTGATCTCTGTTTTCTATTCACTTGCTTAATTCTGTCATCTTTAAATAAAATAATACCATGCAACTCACTTATTGGTTATACATCTCAAAAAACAACAACAAAAAAACACAAATAACTCCACCACTAACAAGACATTATAAACGGATTATAAGTAATTAAGGGCCAGAAATCAATACACAAATATTTCAGCTACTTCTACAGGTTCAATCAACAGAGAAATTTTGCTTCTGCTTTATTATTTATTATGAATATGTAAAGAAGCCCAGTAAACATCATGCTTTCTTTGTAAAAACTTTTAAGTGCACATAATGTGAGCCAAATAAAAAACAAAAGTACCAAGACATGTCTCTCCTTCATATACCAAGTCTTTCTGTGTGTTTTTATGATACATTCGCTTTCTCAGACAAGAAACCAGTTAATTCTACATAAGCAAGCAACAGCACCCATAAACATTCACACAAAGGGAAAAAAGCTGCATCAGCTTACTTAAAAGTTAACCTCTTTTATTAGTGTTATTTCTGTGTAGAATTCAGGGACCTCTCTGAACATGTTATTCTTAAGCGATATAAACTAAAAGATGCCCTAACTAATCCTCTCCACTGATATATTAAAATTGTTATGGAGAAAGTACTGATCCAGTATTTAAATCTGCTTAGGCTAAAACTTCTCATAAAGTGCACCTCACAGTTTACCTAAGGTGTCAAGCTGTTTACTTATACAATCTACTCAAAATTATTCTTCCTCTTCTAATTCTCTGGGAAAGGAAAGTGATTGTTAGAACATAGGCATGTGAGGAGGCTAAATCAAAACAAATATGTAAGTCCAGAAGAGCTGTGTATGAAAACTTAACCTTATTCTAAACAGCTAAGAAACAAAGTACAGTTTTCACTGAAAAATAACATCCAGGCTTGTTCCTGACAGTAACAGTTTGGAAGTTAACACCCTGACTGATATTTAGGAATCGACAAATCCTTCTGATTTTTACCTTCAAGTCATCCAAGCTCGAAGGTAGTGGTCCTGGTTTCCTGCTAGCAGTACTACTGTTCTGTCTTGGTGAGCTGGCAACTGATGTTGGTGTACTGTTGTTCAAAGTATTCAGTGGCGTATTCCCATTGTTACTCTGTTTGTCACTCAGTGGCCTTTGAGTGATTAAAAAAAGACAAGAATGTCAGTGCTATGTTTTCATTCAAGGAGCTGTAATTCTATATCTAGTGTCTATCACAATGGCCTTTTCTTTTTGCAAATACATATTTAACATGAAACAGTAGCATTATTTTCAGTGTAAAAGGATAGAGAAGAAAATTATATATAGAGACTGCTATGTTGATATTTTATTTACTCTTCAGTTTAAGTGTACAAATTTATGCTTCATAGCTTTTATTATTGTCATAGTATCCTTCAAGAGAGGACGGTGGGATCAGTTTATACAAGTTCATCAACTAGAGCAGCTAGTTACCTTCTTGTTTCACTTCAGTTAAAAAAACCATTATTCAGCTCTGGGCATTAACCCTACATACATGTCCAATGTGCTAGTCAATTTACTTAATACAGAATAAGGACCAATCTGAAGACAGTTTACTCTGCAGATGACATTTTTAAAAAACATTTGCATTCTTGTAAGAATCTCATATAAGGATCTCAAAATAATCATTAAAAAAAAAAAAAAGACACCATTTACACTAGGTACCGTAAGCCAGCTTTCTTCTTTGTTCACTTGATTTAGGCAGAAACATTTCTGAAATGTCAGTAAATGGAACATAAGAAGCGTGGGTAAGCAGGCAGAAGCATCTCTAGTCCAAATGTTAGGATACATGGTAATTTTATAAATATAACCACAGATGGTATCTTTTACTTTTCTAGCATCACTTGCTGAGGAAAAATAACTCAGTTCAGAAAACTCCAGTTAAAAAATCCAGTTAAAAACCAGTTGAATTTAAGATTGTATGACTATGGCGTGCTACACTGAGTACTTTTAGGAAAAGAAGGATGGTTTTAGGTGGTGAGAATGAAACTCTGGAGAGGGTCAGCTTTTCATTCCGCTGTAGGCTGCTGCCAACTTTTGAAGATTTATTTCTCTGACTGCTTCCATCTATAAATCAGAAAGTACAGTTCTCACTTAAAAGTACTAAAGATCAACACTGATAAAGTGCTCATATGTTAGAGATATAAGAGGGTATAAACAATATACAAATTTTACCTAATTTAAAATGACTGTTTCTTCTCATTTGGAAACTGCAAAAATGCGGTCTGTGAAACTAATATAAAAAGACAGTAAAAACACCAAAACAGCATGTCTTTTTGTGAAAGCTAGCGTTTTTATGTTCCTCTTCTGCTTTGCCTATCTATATCATATTTGTGTGAAAATAGTGTCAAAACTTTATTGCTCTTGCATGAATCCTCGCTTCAGATATGCATCTAGTTGGAAAAATGCATCTGGCAGGTAGGAGGTTCCACTGTCACGTTAAACTAAAAATAACTAGGTACAGTTATAGGCTTACCAGGCTTTTCGAATCTTTTAACAAGAGCAGAACCTCATTGCCTCTGTTATTAGATGATGTAAATAATATCACAGTGATGCACATTGCCATCTTAAGTTTCCATGGATTCTCTCTGTCTCATAACATGTGAAAAACACATGTATTTCTAAAAAAACAAAGCCTATAACTAATGTATGTTTTTCTTTAAAGGACACTTTCCAATAGAACACTAACAAAGCCTTACATACTTCAGCGGTGCAGGTAGAATTGTCTGGTAGTTGTAGTGTTGTTGCTGTTGGCTCAGGATCTGCAGCTGCAAAAACAGTTGTTGTTGCTGTAGCAAACGAGCATAGTTGGAGTCCATCTGTGGTTCATTCTTCTCACCTTTCTGATCAGGTGGAATATATTGATGGTACTTCAGTTTTTTCACTCTTGGCTTAGGTTCTTTGCATTTCTTGCTCCGATGTTTATCATTTGGGTTCTTTGGGTGGCTTTGCTATTTATGGATGGAAAAGGTTGAAAAAAAAAAAACAACTTGTAACGGACATCTCATTTACATGCAGTTATACAGGATGTACAGGAACACATCTATTGTGAAGAGAAGATGGCAAAATACAATGTTGCTGAAAACAACTGTCCCTGCAACACTGCTCAAAAGAATGGCCTACAAAATCCTTGAAAACTTAACATACTCCATCTATTTTAGAGTATGCACAAGAAAAGGTAACCAGAAATCCCAGTTGTGAATGTTTTGTTACTACATGGCAAGGATAAAGCTAAGAGATTTTGTGGGTCACCACCTGTCATTGCAAAGAGATATTCTTCTTTAACAAGTAAGTTCAAAGCCACTTAGCACTTTGTACAAGCAGGAGCTAACACTTTAAACTCCGTCTGTAAACACCTGCCAATCAGAAGAGCTTACTGGTCTAGATTATGATCATATACTCTTATCAAACTATCAGCACCATCTTTATCAGCACGTATGATAAAATTCTCTTTGAGTTTTTGAGTGAGAAGTTGAAGGCGGTTGTGTAGTCATATAGAAGGTATCAAACAGAAGACATCAAATCATGTGTTGATACATGTACATTTACTGCACAGCCTGTTTTGGCGGATATCTGGATTTGCCATTAAGGTCCTGCATTTCAAGTAAGCTGGGACAATTCCAGTGATTTCAGTAGCTATAGCCAAATCTGTATCAGAAACTGACTATTACAGGTCATCTGTGCTGGCTAGGTTGATACAGAAAAGAACTATGAGTAGGCTTTTTTATCTTCAAATACAAGGAGCTAGTATCTTAACTTTTCTCACACAAAGCAGAAGAGATGCATGTTTTCTGCTTATACAATAAATAACTAGGAAAACAGCTGTGAAAGAGAAGTAATGCTGTTTAACAGTCTGGCTGTAGGCGGATTATGAATACAATTACCTCTGCTCCTATTCAATTATTCCATATACAGAACTAGACTGGAAAAGCTGAGTTTCACCAATAGAAAATACCAACTCAGTATTACAGATATGTGCAGTCCTTATTTCTCTGTGCATTTTAAAAAAACTTCAATAGTAATGTAATGCGTAATTTAGCTTGAAAACACGTCCAATATACTATATGGAGCTCTTGAAATAATGAGTCAGTTCTTACAAAACATTATTGCTGATCTTAGAGAGCATGCCAGAGCTTTCAATTACCAACCCAGTATGTTCATCTGAACACTACTAAAAGTAGTTACTTGGTTATAAACGCTATAATGCTGTTAATGTATTTTTTCAGTAAATAGAGCACTGAAGAAAACAGATTTCAGAACACAATCTTCAGATGCCATCATTACAGCCTACCTTTACTAATGTTGGCCCAGGCTTTGCTGCAGATACAGTATTTGTGGTCAGGGTGGTTGCAACAGTAGAACGTGTAACATGCTGCTCGATTGTAGGGGGAGTTTTGAGGAATTCAGGAACTGGAGAGGTTAAAGGTGGATACTAGTATTAAAAAAAATATAAGGAAAAAGAGAAATATTAAGAACATCCAGCATCTGAATATTCACACAAACACGTGACAAAACACTACGACAACTTACAGTCATTTCACATTCACTATATATATATATATTTATATATATGAATATATGTGTGTGTGTGTGTATGTGTGTGTGTGTATATATATATATATGTGTGTGTGTGTGTGTGTGTGTGTATATATACATATACACACACACACACATATATATACATATATATACACACACACATATACACACACACACACACACACACACATATATTTTTTAGAAGGACTTTCATGCATAGGTAAAAAAGTATGCTATAAATGCACATGTTTGCACATTTCAAATACGCCAAATAAGATATACTGGTTTCATACCTTTATTTCTAAATTTCCATTTACTTGCTGCATGGAAATGTATCCAAAACCTGTTTTTACTTCTAATCTCACTGAAGCAAAACACTAACTGATTTTAATCGAAATCAAGTCCTCAGGCTGCCATGTTAGATATTTTTCCTATGTAAAGCCTGTATTTTTCTTCTGTACTTTTCCTCTTATTCTTTAAATTATATTCCTGCCTTTTATAAATCAGTCAGTATAAATTAGCCTTCAAAAAAGCCCTCTATAAATTAGCTTTCAAAAATTTTGAAAAATTCTGTCATTTTGGTTTTCTTTAGACTATCAAAAGTACACTCAGTCTTCATTAATTTTTGTAGTATATCATAATAAATATTTTTTCCAAAATTAAGTTTTTTCTTAATTATTATTGTTGCTGTTTTTTGCAGAGAAAAAGAATACTAACCAAAACGGATGTATAACAACATGTCGAAAAGCAGCTCTCAGAAAGGGTTTTGTTTTCATAACCTTTACTCTCATATTTTAATTTGCAGAAATATTTATCTTCTGTCTTTTTAACATACATTAAAAAGAAATGGAAATAAAATCATGAAGACATCTTCTGGTAAATATTTCTATCCTGTCTTCCTTACAAAATCACAAAAAAGAGCTTCAGAAATAACCTCATCCAGTCCAGGCAGGAATGTTTTACCTAAACTGCTCCTAACATACGTTAGTGTCTGGTGGGTAGTCCAGAATCAGGTTAGCTAATTGATTCCAGTTCTTAACTTCCTTTATAATTGTAAAATTCTTCTAGAACTGACAGCTGTCAAAGTACCTTTGTCCCTGGCATAAGGAATAAGGAAATACCTTCTCTTCAAGTTAGTCAGTCAGAATTACGGGAATAGGTTATGCCAAAATAAGTTTCTTCCCTCGGTAGTGTTATCTAGCGCTCACACTTTAAGGCTTTTACCACCATAGAATTACGGAACTTAAAAGTGTAACAAATCTCTATACTTCTATAGGCTACTAAGTAGAGAAAAACAGCTCAAATGAAATTGTACTCCTTCTAAATATAATTAAAGGAAGAATGGAATGCATGTTACCAATTGTTAGCAGGGCTATTACCATTAGTTTTTGTTCTGCTTGAAGCAAAATTTACAATATAACATTTAAATTTTAACCTCAAATATGCTATAGCTGTACTGACACAGTCAGCTGAAGTTACAGAAAAACACTATAGATGCATTTGCTTTATTACTTATAGAGCTAAGAGGCCTTCACTGTTTTCCATCTATGAAATCAGAATCTTGTGCACACAATGAATATTACCACCCGAACTAATATTCTCAGAAAAGTCTCTCTTTCATGAATGTCAAACATCAATGTGGGAAGATAAACTTGTTTCAGAACAATCACACAGTAGCAGAGCAGACATGTATTTTGAAGAGAGAGCTTCCTATAGCATTCTTATGGCAACTGCGGCAACTGAGTGGGCCAGAAGGGGTATTTCTTCAGTATCTGACTTCCACCACAATTATGTTGCTGTGTAGGTACAATCCAGTGACCTGTGACTTGGTTGCCTTGCTGTTACAAGCATCATGCATATCATTTCTTCTATAAACTTACTAAATTCCATATAAGCTTGGGGCTTTTTAATTATTATTTTCCTGGCAGCACTGCTCCTACTAGAATAAATTCCCCCCAGATTTTCTATATAATAGGGAAACTTCTCTCAGCTTTGTCCGTAGCCATTTTTTGTGCTGAAATTGTTGTCCAGTTTAAAACCTCTTTCTGCCTGTGGGCCAATATCCCTCTGATCTGTTTACAGACGGAGCCTGTATCTCATCTCAGCCCTTGTTTCTGTAGCTAACATAAATTTTTATTCTTTTCTTATCACAGAATCAAAGAATACTTGGGGTTTGAAAGGCCCTCCGGAGATCATCTGGACCAAGCCCCTGGCTCGAGCAGGGTCACCTAGAGCAGGTTGCCCAGGACCACATCCAGTTGGGTTTGAATATCTCCAAGGATGGAGATGCCAAAAACTGTCTGGGCATCGTGTTCCAGTGTTCAACCACCCTCACAGTAAAGAAGTGTTTTCTTGTGTTCAAGTGGAATTTCCTGTGTTTCAGTCTGTGTCCATTGCTTCTCGTCCTGGAGAGGCATATCATTTTAAGAGCAAGGCAGTTCATAAAAGAGATTTTCCATTCTCTGATCATCCTTTTCTGTTCATGTTACAGTTTCATTAATCATTCTTGGACACGAGTAACTGGAAACCTATAGAATAGTCCTTACGATGTTTCACTGCATGCTTATACAGTGGCATTAACACTTCCTTACTTCATCCGGAATTATCTTTTCTGATACACTTGTATTTTTGCAGAGGAAGGACACAACAGCTCACAGTCACTCTGTTGCTGACTACTGCACCCTGTCTTCCTCCTCCGTTTTTTCTAAACTGAAGTTCCCAGCTTTCTCCATTTTTTTTCCATGGGAAGGAGAGGCGTTGTGTATTTTTCTTTTTTAGAACTACTAAATTTCGCTCCGTTTCTATAACCCCTAAAAGCCAAACTCTGTGCTGACTATGCCTTCGAACTTTTGTTACTTGGCCCATTCGTAACAGTAATGTCAAGGTTGTTAATGGTTAACAAGGTTGTTAATTAAACCAGACTGTTCCAAAATCAACTCTTGTGGAGCACTACTCATCTTTCAAGTCAATAATTCCTCTTTTTCCTATCTCTGCTAATCTCCATCTTCTCCAGTTCTGCTAATGTTTACTATCATGTTGTATTAAGTCCTGACAGATTAGATCAGTTTTATTGCCATTGCTTAAGAAAGCAATTAGATTATCTAATACAACATTCCTTTTATAAATGCCTATCCATTTCCCTTACATCCTTATCATTAAATATCCTTTTTCTGCAGAATATGTTCTAAAACCTTGCATTGTAATTAGGACAGACATTTACTTGTCTCTAATTCATTTTTTCCTATTTTTAAATATTAGTATGATGTGCGCCACTATTCTTCCATCAGATGGTACCACACAGGATTTAAATCAGCTTGCTAAAAACACTCTGTGCACATTCTGCAATTTCATGTACTAGTTCTTTTGTATTTCTGGGATGGCAACTATCAAGTTGCCAATCTGCATGCAGTAAGCTCCTGACTATTGCTTACATTTCAATTATGATAATTTCCACTTCTATCTGTGTTTCTATTACCCATTTTGCTGCCTCTCCTACGGCTAGCAGACAACAGGGAGCTGTACCTAGCTTGTCTCAGCGTGATCTGAACTGTATAGTGGTTTTGTTGCTTCTTTTCCTTTCCAATTTTTTACCTGAAGAATCTCTTCCGAGATCTACATCAGTCCAACTCTGGCAATTTTCACTTTATCCCTAAGACACAGCGTGCTTTGTTGATCAGGCTTTCCCCCCCCCCTTTCTTAAATGCAGGGTCTGTAGGATGTCTGTGATTTTAAATTATTTTTAAAATTATGTTAATGAAACACAGACAGTTGCATATACACTAAAAATAATTTATGTATTAGCAAGTAGTCATCTCTGTCTCTCAAGTACTGTGTGAAAAAAGGAATATGTAGCTCAGCTATCCAGAGGAAAAGCTACTGATACCGCATTAGTAAATCATAAGATTTAGTGTGCTGTGCCCAGTCACTGAAATGCTGCACACATGCCTGTCTTAATATTGTGTCAGTTTGTGGTGGCAGGCTAAAGATAAAAACGCCTCTATTTTTACACCACCTTTCAAAGTGTTTGCTCTGGAAAGCATCTGATATCTACATACATCTGTTATTTGCTGGACTTGCATAAGAACTGGCAGGGGACTTTAGAGGCACTTACCCTTTTAAAAAGAGTGCTGTATATAACATATAACAACATATTCCACTCCTATTGCTATCAAGTTACAAAGGCTTATTCCAGTTATACAGTAACAGATTTAAAAAGTAATTAGTTGATCTTTGAATCAAAATGTCATTTACTGTATTACCATAAAGCACAGAATTCTAATGATCTCATGAATGTCACTAGTTCTTAAAATTTTCTTTTCATGAAATTCCCTCTAAAAATCATTTAAAATGTTTGCTACTCCAGCTTATTCATTACATAATCTTTTGCCTTTCACCATGCTGATGCTTCTTGTACCTATACAAGAACTTCAGATAGACTATTCAGTCACCCTCTATAGGCTATGAAAACATCTGTATAACGACAACAAAACAAGACCCTTTAAAATAGATAAGCTAGTATCTTTCTAAAAATATTTCTTGAACTTCACAGTATTAGACAGCTTCCGTGCCATAAAGTAATTTACTTTTTCCTTACATCTTAAAACGATGCAAGTGATCTTAAAAGGTGATCTTAAAATACAAAGGACTGTTGGCTGTATGAAAAACAGACTTCTCAATTTTACTGCAAGTGTCAGTTTAGATGCCATGCATATCATTTACTTGTTAGGTTTTTAAATTTTAATTTAAAAAAACGAAATGAAAAGGTCTCACCTTCTTAATTTGATCACTTTATAAAACAATGTAAAGAATACTTCCTATGAACAGACCTTGTATTTTCAGTTACAGATAATATTATTTCTGGACCTCTTCTTATAACTGCACACAAGCATATAGCAGGTCAACAAGCTATGGTGAATATAGCAAGAAAACAATCATTACATTCTTTCTAATCAAGCAGAATTCTTTAGCTGTTCTAGAGATAACTGTTTAATATCTTCAGAATTATGAACACCAGAATCTGATATGTTTAGAGTAGCGTGGTTAAACACCTAATCCTTACCAGATGCTCAAACACGTAAAGTGAAAGGGAGTTTCAGGTCATCAGTCAACGTGAGCTGAAGGGTCTCAAAGTTATGCTACATTCTCTGAGGCCTGGAAATGTGCGGAGGAGGAAACCTTGAAAAGAGCCCTGGCTGCACTCCACTGTTCTCAAACCGTTCTTTCTATTTTCTGTTGTAATAACATGTAAAGTTTGTCAGAGGAAATTAAAGAGAATGAGAGAGCAATTTCCCAGATACATCTCCTGTAGAGACGTGCTGTGCTCTTACTCTTTATTTCAAAGGAACAACAAGGTAAGCATCTGTTTTATTCTGCAGAGGAGCAGCTTTGCATTGTATATACGTACGCCAAAGTGGCTGTAATACATTATGAAATTCATAAGCAGAAGATCGAAAGTTCCATTTGAAGTGCTTTTCAAATCAGCTTCAAGTGCTCTATTATTTTGTTGCTGCAATCACATATCTATCTCATGCTTCCTACTTGAATAGCTTTTGGCATGCATTGCTTTGAGTATTTTTATTTAACTCTCCATTAGGAAGCTAACTCTTTACTAAAGAATCTAATTGCATGTGGTTTGTTTTCAGTTCATTCAACACAAACTGTATTTTCTCGACATGAAACCTAATTCATGTCTTAATTTGCACAGCAGGGAACAATGAAATAAAATGGATGTACACTACTCTTTGTCCGGCACTGCTTTTGAGTATGAACTTTGCAATGCTTTTTGTATCTTATTGCAGCAATAAGAAAACCAATGAGAATAATTCCAGATCCTGAAATGTGGAATTGTAAAGGATCCCTGGTCATTACAACAATTAAGGCAATAACTTCCTTGGAGCACAGACAATATCTCATATATAATTTTACATTACTTTATACGGTAAGAACTTGAAACTCAGTTATGTCTGATCTTTTGTTTGTGTCATGTTACAAAAGTAATATAAAACTCTTATTCAACTTGCAGCACAGTTCCTTATGTAGAGCCCTGGCTTTGTTAAGAATCAGTTGGCAGTTTACATACACAAATAAATGTATTTTCCTAGAGCATGATTAAATAAAAGGATAAGCATGAAAATAATCCACCGTGCAGAGTTATGCATCTTTTCTCCTTTGTAAAGTTAAAAAAGAGATTAAGGAATCCTCTGAGGAAGCCCCTTGGAAAAAATCCAGTATAGATTATAGCTGATCAATATCAACCTGAGGAAGATTACAGACTTACAGCATTACTATTCACATATTGGTCAGATTTTGCTACAGTGGTAAATTTGAGAATAAACTATTCTATTACTTTAACTACAAAAAGGCTACAAAAGCTAAACAGTCTATTTACCAGGTACAGACCTGACTGAATGCAGTATTACTAAACTGCGGTAATTTATACATCATTGCATATATAACCCTGTGATGAAAACCGAAATCTTTCCATCAAAGAAATTATTGAAACAAACATGGACAGTCCAGTAAAACGCACCAAGAGACAAAAATAATTCTTCTGTAGTATTACAGCTGCTTTCATTTCGGTATAACAAGAAAATGGGTTTACTGGGAGCAACAGTAATTCAGTATAAAGGACTTCTAGGATACAAGACTGCTTATCAACAAACAAGAAAAAATTTGATCCAGCCACTGATTCAGCATTGATCTAAGGCAAATTTTTTATTGTTTTAAATTTCAATAAACAAGCCAATTGTTCCTCTAGGCAGGTAAGACTCAGAATATAAGCAAAATTTGGAACTCATCTCTGTCAGTCCCTAATAACAAGCTGTTAATGAGTGGAGACCCGCGCTAAGTCCTCCCGTATGATATAAGCTCAGAGAATTTAGAGTTCCATTATTCAACCTAGCAAGTCCACACTTCTGGAATCTCTAATGAGACCTAATCTAACAATCCTAAGAAAAATAAAACTGGTAATACAAAATCAAAACGTCTAAAAATATTTTCAAAATGTTTCGATGTTTTCAAAAAGGAAAGCATAAATATACAGAGCCACAGATCCTATTGATGTCAGTGTGTTATTACACAACATATACTTATTATGCACAATAGTTACTGTAAAAGTAGAACATGCACAAATAGCAAGATGTTGAAATGAATGGTGTTGTACAGTGCATGTTATGTGCACTATGCAACAAAGGAAAGCTCTTGCTAAAGGGTCCAAAAAACCCAAGTAAATTGGGTGGCAGGAGGGAAGCGGCAGTTTGAAAGAACATTAAGAAGTAAATGGCAGACTAATAACAACTACTAACCTATTTTCATGAAAACAAATGGATTCATTTGAAAACATTCAGATTCATTCACAGAAGTCAACTGGAAGTTTAGTTGTGTTTAATTGCCTCATGACATCCACAAGAGGCAAATAACATCATGAGTGTGGCTAGTGCTAGGGGTGTTTGCTGAGTGTTCAGCTAATTGATGTCAGAGAACATAAAACAGCTCTGCTTGCCTTTCCCTCCACTGAAGCCCCAATTTGAGGGCTCTTTCTCTCTCCAGCCAAAAAATTTCATGAAGGTTGCAGAAATCTAGTTAAGAGTGAAGATGAATTCTCCTCATTCAAATTGGGCTCGTTCATTTCAGACCACAAATTAAATTATTTTAAGAAGTGTTCTCTTTCAAAACTCATTTTTGCAAGTCTTGTTAAAAATACACAAGTGTTTCTTTCAAATCCAGTTTTCTCTCAACAGTGGACAATAAGTTTAACTTTAAACCACTCAGTCAAAATTACACTTTTGTGGCGAAACTATTCTTCAAAAACCTCACACATTTGACTGTTTTTTCCGTTGTTTGTAAATAGTTCAAGAAGACACCAAAGCCCTCACAGAAAACAAACACAAAGATTACTTTTATTTCTTAAATACTGAATTCTGTAGAAAGAATTTTAACACTGTGTGAAAGAAATTTAAATTATGTGGAAAAACGTTATTTTTATGGTATTTTCTAGAGATAGCAGAGCTGATGTCAACTGTTGTTTTAACTAAGTTTAATTCTAAAATGCAAGTTCAAGCCCTGGCCCAAAATGAAGATAGACATTAAGTAATCAATAGCAGCTGGAGTAAACCATGAATATGTCATTTTAAACAACTTCCGGGAAAGCTGTAGATGTTCTACACAAATAAAGAATTTCAGTGAATATACTGCTCCGCTACAGCCTATGGGTATTGCACCACTGCCAGGAACCAAGCCAGAAGTCTAGTCTGTAAACTCCTCAGCACAAAATGGAGTTCCAGACACTCCTTTGCAACAACAGATGTATTCATTGCATATGAAAGTATGCCCCATTTATATAGTACCAAAACAAAAAATGTCCCATAGCGATTTTGTTTCAACACTTACACACAGTACCTGTGCTGAAGTAGCAGCATTTGGTGTTACTGGTGATGGTGAGTCACTGGCTTTTGGCTCACCAGGGGAAGCTGTGGAACCCTGGGATTCTTGGCTCGCTGGCTGATCTGGTGATAGAGCATCACTGCTGTCTTCATCAAATGAATAATCATCCAAAGCTTGAGGATAATTCTCTTGTCCAACTGCTAAAATGTTTAGGAAGAAACAAGCAAAAACAATTATTTTAAAAATTATATAAATTAAATCTAGACTTTGGTAGGAGAATTAGCTATTTGCTGGAAACTGATCAGATTTCAGGACAATCAAATCATATAGTACACAAGTACTAATTGTGTTTTTAATATAATGAAAGCCATATTAGATCATAATCAAGGGACTGATAAAACCAAGTGCATAACAGAAGTTCTTCCTAATAGGAGATGAAGAGGTATGTTCAACACATTTGCAGTATACGTGAACATATGTGACCCTTAATTAATCTGTCTTAAGTGTCTATGGTTAATTTGTAAGAATTTTTATTAAGAAACAAGTATTTTCAAGAGGAATATTGTACTTCAGCTGTGTAATTTAAACAGTTTTGAAGTAAAAAATGCACAGCCTTCAATTAAAGGATAACAGAGTAAAGGACTCAGAAGCTGACAGAGTAAGAGCTAACGAACTTCAAGAATGTTTTCCTGTGGTGAATGTTACTCTCAAGAGTGATTTTCTGTACTACTATAATGATAACAGATACAAGCTGTGGCTGTCCTACTTGCCTATAATTGCTTCTTTAACACTGGAGTCTACAGGAAGAATATTTTTTTCAACCAGTTCCATAGGGCCAGGCCTCTGAGCAATCTTCTCATTCAGATCATCTGCCAGCCGAGCTCTCTTCAGTTTCATCTGAGTGGCTTGCAGTGAAGGCTCTGCAAATGTCTCTAAAAGACACGTTGATTTAAGTATTCTGCTCCATTTATTTTCCAATTTCAAGATAACCAGCAAAGTGTTTCATCTCTGCAAAAACCATTCTACTTGTATCAAAATTAGGCAAGTATTATTTTGAAATTAAAAATCCCTATCTCCAAACATTCTGAAATCAAGCAAAATAAGATTTTTTGAGTAGATGTTTTTCATTCCCGTGACCATGCTTTTTTATAAATACATCCTCTTTATAATAGCAGTAACACTTCTGGTAAATGTTTGTATAACGTCCAATCATAAAGCAGAAAATACAAAATAGATAATGCTAGTTATGAACGTAAATATAGCTCATACCGGTAAACCTTTACAGCAGCAAATGGTAAAGCTTTAACCGATACTTAATTTTTGGATTCTCTTTTGCCAAACTAATCTTAAAAAGTTTACCTTTACAAATAGCTTCTAGCACAAATTTGAGAGTCTTCAAAATTGTATTTCAGTGACAGTATGCAGGTGGATTATCAACATGGAGCTCAGTATCCAAATGCATGTTTTGAAAATTAACAGATATTAAATTGACTTTGGTAAAGGTTACTTGGTAATTTCTAAATTTGGCAAAATTATGGCCAAAATGCACGAATACAGCCCCATTTATTAAAAAAAGCTATTGTTTCAAATTACCTGAGCGACAAGGAAAATAAAAAGGAACAGTAAAAGTCAAGTTTACTAAGGGTTATTTTTTGGAAAAAAAAAAGTTACATAAAGCATAAGGTTATTTTAGGGTAACTAGTAGAAGTGGAAGTGCTGTATATTATGTGTACGTACTTCATGGTGTAATTACCATTATAGAATAAAAGCAACATGCACTTGCAAACAAATACACAGTTGAGAATAGTTTCACTACCATACATCTGCCTACTATCGTACAGATTTAGAATGCAGATTACAACAGATACACCGTAGAAGTGGAGAAACACAGTATATAAATCTTTATAAATGATTCACATCAAAGCCTAGTTCAGTTAGGCCCAAAGTTAAAGTTTGAAAAAGAAGCTCTCTGGGTACATACCTTCTAGGATGTGCATTCTGACCAGCTCAGACCGATCTGGTCTGCTACGAATCTTGTGCTTCAAAAAATTTTCAGTCTTTAAGGAAATAAAGAACATTACATTAGCATTTACTAGAAAAAGCACAAAGTAGTTGGTATACTGATAAAGCACTGATGTGCAATCAGTGAATATCTGCAGCTTATGTTGCCTTTGGATAAATGGACTTCACTATTGGAACAGTTGTACTAGAGATTTACTTATTTTGAATTACAGTCTTCCCCAAACAAGTTAGAAACGCTTCTGGATTTTATCCCATAATTCCACACTAGACCACAACAGTATATATTAGAAGTTTGCTACAGAAATACAGTGCACGTGTCATTTCAACCCAAGTATTCTGTCCTTGGACTGTAGGAAGATATCAATTAGAATATGACCATGTTTCATCCCCCCACCTGCTTGACCTATGAACGATTAAGAAACTTCCTCTGAGATTTGATACTTAGATTTGATAGGTCTGATAGATTTTATTTTAATGGATTCTTCCAAGATACAAGTAGGTATACAAGCATAGTGTTAATAACTTTTTCATGTAATCAAAGAATTCAGTACCACATACAACTGGCATTTTCACATGTTAACAGCAAGTTCACGCAAAGTGTTTACCCTGGCTCGTTCCAAGCTCTTTATCTGCTCATGGAATGCAGCTGGACTTTTCAAAGCTGTGAACGGAAAGAAAAAGTTAAATTGACAGGACACGATTTCCAAAGAAATATCCTAATCTGTAAACTTCTGTGGGTATTCAGCAGCATCGCAAAGCTGTGTTTGCATCTGACCAGGCTTACACGTTTGATTCATGCCAGTTATACTTGCTTATATTCAACAAAGATGATTATCATTCCTATGCAGAGTACTTGGAATATATGATTTTACCAGATGTTACTCTGTTACAATTAACTATGTTAACACTAGGTACACTGGTGTCTATTTAGCAAAACTGTTCCACAGTAAAAATTTTATAAGGTAGTGTTCAGAAGGCCAAAATACCGTTTTGTTTATTCCACTGTATTACTATCCATCTATACTTTATCTTGCTGCTATTACAGACAGCTGAATTGTCCCTTAAAAACTGTTCATGATGCTTTTTTAAAATACTGTAGGAAATCAAAAATGTTCAGATCAGAAGTGGGTTAGAAAACAGAACAATCCCACAGTATGTCTCAATTCAAAGCGATTTTCAACTAAATACAAGATTAAATAAAAAATCTAGAGCAACATATTTGATAAATTGTATTCTTCTCCCTACTAGTGAGGTCTATTAGTATCCAAACAGCAAGGAGGTATTCTGAGAGCCTACTGTCTAGCGTAAAAATCATGCAACAGCAGCAGAAAGCCCCTCTGTGCTTCTGAAAAACAAACAGGTAAATTATGGCATCACAGAAGTAGAAAGGACCTCATCTGGCTCTCGATGAGGAATCACCTAGCTCTTCTCTGTCCCAAACACACAATAAGCAGGGGCAGACATTGCTGACAGAAATCTATATTGTCTTTCAAAACTCTCAGAGCAAGATAATGCCAGCATACCACAAGCTTGGTTCTCCCTTGCTGTGATTTAAATCTGCTATTTCTTTTCTACTTACCACAAAGAAAGCTTACTTACCCGTAACTGGCGATTTTTTATTTTGTGGTATGGGTTTTTGTCATATGTGCATTCTAACAGTGCGTATATTTGTGCTTTGTTACTTAAGACCCAGCACATTATTCACAGAATATTCACATTATTCAACTCTTCATACCTCTTGCTGCTTAGCAAGAAAGTTGAAGTACGTATCTTGCTATTTAATTGCTCTCAACCATACGGCTGTATCTGGAATAATTTTGAGAGAACGTGAACTGCACATCTCAAAGAACATCAGTTACCATAAATACTTTCTCCAAGTGGGTCTACATGTTTTGATAGTGGGGAACCCTGAGCAATAAGCCTCTCCACCTGGGTGGATCCCAGCCTCCTTTACACAAACAGTGCTTGGTGCTGGGCAAAAGACGCCTGTATCAATCCTCAATATGTTCTGGGTGTTCTGCATTAGGACAGCTGCACCTGCAGAGGCCGCAAAGAGAAAGTCCTCCTGTGCTAACAGAAGTCCCCCAAGCTCTGGCAGAACGTACTCTGATCAAAGCTACTATGAGAATGGTCTGGATGCAGCCTG